TATTGAATAAATTTTCCGCAATTCCATAAAAGAGTGTAAATTTTATAGTTCTATATCATGTTATACGCTGTCAGCCAGCTGTTTTTCGCGGCCTATGTGAAAGGTCAGTGTTAGCCACCGGTGGTTGACGCAGCGCTCAACGTGTTTAAAAAAAATGAGTTTACATAGATTTAGTGTAGAAGTTTTTCCATATTTTTGTCCAACCCCTGTAGTTGTCATATAAAAGTTTATATAAGTTTGTATAAGTCGTAGTTGTTATACTGGTTGGAAATAATTTTTATAAAACAATCATGATATTCAGAATTATAATTTTTTTGCTATCACTTATTACTTATTAAACTACTATTACTTTTAAACACAATTAGTAAAATATTATTTTGAAAATTTATACAGAGGTGGAGGATATTAGTCCTCCTTAGGTGGAGGATATTACTCAATACGTATCTTAGTCTGTAAAAATCTTATTTTGAATGAGATGGTTTAATTTTATTTTATTTATTCTTTTCTCTATTTGCTTTTTAAAAGAAATGTCAAAAATGGATCTAACTTAAGATACAATTTTGTGATATACGCTTGAATCCATGGAATAAAAATAAAGAAAAGAGTAGCTGCGTAGTGCGTAACACTAAAATCAATTAGATAAATTCATAAAAACACATTTAAATGCATGCTTATATTTAAATACAAAGAAGATATAAACTTCTTTACTTTTTATTGAATACATACAAATTTTATGGATAACATTGCACAGTTCTATTTTTTATACATTTATAAGTCATAATTTTTTTTATTATTCTTAGTCTCGATGAAAAAAAAAATGCCGGTTGCTTCTAAGCCTGATGTATTTTATCAATTCTTCCACCCGCAGACAAAGAAGAGAAAAAGTGAGATATGTTACAAAAAATTGACTCCAATTCTTTTAAAGTCCGTTCGTAAAAATGACTTAACGAAATTAAAAACGAACACAGATGATAAAAAATGATAAGTTCGGGGTGCACGCACAGACAAAAAAAAAAAAAAAAAAAAAAGTTTTTTTTTCTATAGCAAGTTTCAATTTTTCCCCTTTGTCGTGATAAGAGAATGAAAGGAGGGTTATAATTTTTTTAATTAATAAGAGTATAATTGAATTCCCAGTTAGTTGGCTATCATTGGCGGTAACTTGTTGGGCAAGTGATGATTAAATTATATTACCGCTGATAGAGATAAGACATTTTTTATCGCCTCGTGAAAAATATTATTATTTTTTAGAGGAGGGACTCTGTTTTTATTGAAAGTACTTAATGGACATTAAATGTTTTGCTAGGTTGTTATGATTTGAAGAGAAACAGATACTAAATTTGTTGGTCATAAATTAATGAAAAATTAAATCCTGCACAAAAGTTCTTTGTAACTGTTTTTATACATAATGAGAGTTCAGTGTTTTCGGATAATTTAATGTTTTTTAGCTTGACTAAAAAAATATTATCGCACTCTAAATTGCTTTGCGTTACAGTTTAGATGTAGAGTAAGTACCTATGAAGCATTAATCTTTCTCACTGTAGAAAAAAAAAATAATGGTGATATGAGATTTGATTAAATGCCTCTTAAGTATTTCCTAAGCTTCATAAACCTCGTAAATGATAATATAAATGTCAAAAAAAGTACGTAAGGGAGAAATAAAAAACTGGGAACAATATTTTGAGTCAGTTACAAAAATTGTAGAGATAATTATTACAAATGGCTGCTATTCATGCACTCTGATAGTCTAATTTGCCATCTCTCGGAATCAAAATATTAGATGCACGTAGTATGTATATATTTGGAAAGATAAACTTTGCTTTTGTGCTTAATGCGTTTTTCAACTAATAATAATTAAAAAAAAACTTTTATTAGCAAACAATCTTTTTCCAAGAGACAAAAAATTTCGGAACACAAATAATTATGTAAATGTATTAAAAGATGCTGCGCTAAAATATAGCCTCCTAGCATTCTAAGCTTACTAGAAAATTTTTCTTTTAAACTTTAATACGGAGTAAAAGAGTAAAATAAGTTATATGGGTTATTAATATTTTTTAAAATTTATCTAACACTTGACATCTTATGATTTTCTCGTGCTCTTTTGATATATTACAAAGCTGCGAAGACCTGAAAAAAAACCCAAAGGAAGAGAAAAAAAACTATAAAAAAATGCTTTCAAGAATTTTTCAGAAATTTAAATGATTTTCAAATTTAAAAAAAAATCTGGAAATTAAATAAAATTAGGAAAATATATTATCTCGTCGTCTGCTCATATGATTCTATCCGAGAAAACAGGGCTTTCTAATATTGTATTAATATAGCCTTCTTTTTTTTAAAAAAAATGCCCATGATTTTAGAATAAGATTATATCTTTATATTCATATTATATAAGATTATATTTTCATAACTTTCCTTGCTTTTTGAGAAAAAGTTTTCTAGTGCGAGCCTAAGTTTTTGCTTTAATGTATTATCCTTTGTTTCGTAAATTCGAATTAAAGTTTTTTTCCGCAACTCTACTTGTAAATGACTCAAAAATTCATACGAAATTTCCCTTTTTCCAGTTTTCTAGTGGTGAGGATATTAAAATGTTGGTAAAATTACCACTAAATAGAATATTTTGAAAAAAACCTAGTGGTTGGCAGCACTGTATATTGCATATATCACGTTAGCTGGCACGCTTTTATATCGCAAAAATAATTGTACAACAAGCTTTTATGTTAACACTAGGTTTACGGACGTTTCTTATATACCTATCTCTACGAACTCGCGTCAATTTGACGTATGAACGAATACATATAACAGCACTTACAGAGATGCCAACTTGCTCCGGACAGCAAATATATATTTTGAAGTGGTAGTTTATCAATTGTGACTCTTGGTTTAATAAATTCAATTTAGTAGATTTTTATCCACCACTATTTCTAAATAATTCATAGATTATTATGATTCACCTCTTTATATTTTCAAAATTTACTTAGTTGTTATTTACCGTTTTTTTAAAAATTATTTTGGCGTGTCCGGAGCAGTTGGCATCTCTACACTTGGAAAGCAATGTAATTAGATACTATAAGAAAAAAAATGAAAGTATGAGATATATATTTATGAAATATTCTAGTATTTAATTTTTCAATACTCGAACTAAGCAACTGAAACCTTCAAAATCTGACACTCTGACATCAATTGACATTCTGCGTTTGTTCGTTCTATTATTGCTTATCGGCAATAGTTGTTTATCGCTTGTTTCATTTGAGATAACGATATCGGATAACGGATCGAAGTATTGTCGGTCCATTAATATTTATTATTGATGTGATGTTTGCATGTTTACTCAAAATTTTGTCTTAATCATGATAGCGTCAAATCGACGCGTATCCGCAGAGATAGGTATACCACAAAGAGAATTTTAATATTTCAACACTTTTGAAGAAAATAGACTTCAATATATCAATGGATAAAAGTCACTACAAGAGATAAAATAAAAGTGCAAGCGTATTTCGTAATTTTCCTTATAAAATTCGAAATGCGTCAAAATGACGCGTCCCGTAAACTTATTGTTAACTGTCAAGATTTCTTACCAAGCTACTGAGACGATTCTCTTTGAACTTTTAATTTATGTGTTAATCATGTGTTAATGAGTGACACTCAAATTAATGGACTCTGAAAAAATGTCAAAATTGGGGTGGTCACTTCCGGAAAAAATTAAAAAGTGGAATAGAAAGAAACAAACAGATTTTACTAGTTCCTATCTGCAAAGATGCATTTGTAAATTAAACAAAATATATTTAGACTTTTAAACTGGCTAATCTAATTCCTAAAAGTGAAGAACGTTTAAAAATTTCAAAAACATCACGAAATAGTTTTCACCACTGTTTATATCGTTACCGATTGCTACTACCCAGAAAAATATAATCTTTGATACTCGAGATTTTCTTGATGCGCTACTTTATATAAGGGATAAACTTATTTAGGAATAAAACTAAAAGAAAAGATGTAAATAGTTCCATAGAATTATTGAAAACTTTCAGAATTGTTCGCAAACATTTTAAATGCCTCACTACGAGGAGTCACTTTTGAATAGTTTGCATGAAGTTGAGTGAAAAATAATATAAAATTAAATTTACAAGATAAAGAATGATACGCTGAAACATCTACTACAAGAGAAACTTTCCAAAGCTGGTTTTTGAATATTTGTATGTAATGGTGAGAAAAAATTCTTAATCAAACTTACTAAATACAGACAATTCATATGACCCGAATTTTTCACCCTTTGTTCCAGCTAGAATTAAAAGAATCTTATCTGATATTTCATAGGAATAATTTAACCAGAAAAGAATACAAGGCTGCCCCCTTTTGTAAAATATTTAATAGGGCGGTAGCCAATTAAAAACTAATGCTTTCAGAATTTTTGAAAATTTTTGAAAGTTTCACCATGAGAGCACTGGAACAAAGTGGCATTTTGTATGATATTTTGAATAATTTTTATGTAGTGGAGAGGAAAATAACTTTAAACCATATTTACAACACCATACATTAAAACATAAATAAAGTTACCACAAAAATTTTCATAAAAAGCGCTGGACAGACTTGATGATGTACATAAGATAAAAAAAAAAATATATAAATATATAAAAATATAAGTAATATTATAATAAAAGGTCAGAGATTAACGTTACCAAGTTAGTTAATTTTAATAAAACCTTAAATGTTTGAGGTTCTGATAATGATTAAATAAACTTCCCTTCTTTAGTAAAAGCAAAAATAGAGTTTATGTACGTGGCTTTCAAATTAATTGATTTCAAAATATAAAATAGCGAAATCCACGTGTCATTTCGATGGAAACCAAAGCATTGGATTACGTCACAGCAAAACAAAAATAGCCGGATCTCAAACTTCTTCGGCCAATATCCGAAAGTTACTCAAAGAGATGAAGCGAATAAATGCGCGAATGGATCGGCGCAAACGATTCCTCCTCATCCCTCATCATCTTCTCTCTTCCACCCCCTTTTGCTCCACCCCTGAGCCATGAGGTCGCTTTCTATGCTTCAAAATGACCGCAATGACCGTCTGGTCATTTCCTGTTGGACAAAAGGTGTAACCGTATCAATATGTTGTAATCTTTCTCCGGGAAGATCTTGTCTCTGACTGTCCACTTCAAGACAGTGCTTTCATCTTTTCTCAGAACTGGAATTCTGGAGTTTGAAAATTCGCGCCAGATGTGTGAGTCATATTTTTCGGAGTCAAGTTCGTCGATGTGTTTAGTATTTTTGTGAGGCTTCAGGTATGTAGAAAAGAATTTTTTTTTCTTTTCTAAAAGTGTTCTTATTTTGATTTAGTTTATATTGTTGGAAATTTGATATTTAAAATTTTTTTTTTCCCTTCTATTAAATAGACAAATAGGTTACGTGAAACAAAATAGTAAAGAATTGAAAAGAAAAAAATGGAATTGTCTTAAGCTTATTTTTTAGGATAGGAATTTTAAGAATCAGAAGTAGGTTTAATCAGGAATATGTATTTTTAAGATAGTTAACATAGGAAACATTTCTATATAAGAAAATGAGCGGTTGAAACTTTTTTTAAATCCTGTATAATATATTAAGGGCTGATTGGATAAAATTTTAAGAGATATTTCAGTGAATTTGAACAAATTAATCTTAAAATGTGAACTTGCCAAAATGGTAAAAAATATCCTGGCTTAAGTTCATGTTATCAATCTTCCGATCGAGGAAATCTATAAATATGAAGCATTTATTTCAACTGTTTGCGTCATAGCGTTCACACTGGGTTTTAATTTACTAAAGAACGGCCTTCCACGGTTCGACTTTGTTGCAAAATGTTGTAGGAATCTTTTTGCACTACAAAAGCACTAAAAAATTAGGGTCTCTATGAAATTTATTTGAAAAGGTAGAAAATTATACAAACATATATGTTTTAAGCTATTTGCCAAAAACATTTAAAGAATAATTATGTAAACTATTCTCAATTAAAAAGTAAATTTATATGTTTTTAGTAGAAAACTACCACTCCAGGTCTTTCTTCCTTCCACTGAGATCTACAAAATTTAAAGAAATAAGGTTAAATAAATATTTTTTTTTCAAAATAACTTCCCAATTTAAAAGATTTCAATTATATTGAAAAAAATGTATATTTAGTTTATTGGCGCGACCAGAGAAGGAATCCATTTTACCTCAAAGGCATTCAAAGTTTTAATCGATTACTATTATTTTCATTACGAATTTAAATTTTTCAAAAGATAAATATTTCATTTAGTATAGGAGGGAGAAAGGAGACGAATAAAATATTTTTTTGATTAATCATGCAAAAATTCGAACGCAAAATTGTGTAACGCTTTAATATGTAGTTTACAAACGTTTATGTAGTTTGCGAGAAAAGATTACAACATTATAACACGACTACATTGTAAAGTAGCCAATTAAAAAATAAGCAAGGTTTTGAAAAGTAACTTTTTCATTTCTGCTTTAATTGCAATTTTAAACTATTTTTAGCCACTGTTTCTTAAAACAGCGGGTATTATGTTTTGAACGAATATGTTTATTTCACATTTTAATAGTAATATTTGAAGTGTCTTTCTTGAATTAAAGAATAATGAGTTTAAAAGAACTAGTGTTTCTGTGGAAATGGGGACACATAGTGGTGGGGCCATAGTGAACAAGTCGATATTAACAAGGTTCGTACGAGTTTTATAGTGGAAATAAACTATCGTTATTGCAAGCAGGAATTTACATTGCCACGTAACGTTTAACCCTTTGGGGCCGACTGTCACAAATACGTGACAGCATAAAACCGTATCAATCAGGTTAAAAATATAAAACTGGTAATCAAAGTATTTCTTTAGCAGTTTATTTGTGGGCGGAGTAATAATTGTTTGATTTATTTAATTCACCAATCCTTTGTTCAAAATAAAACTATTTAGTTATACTTTGAATTAACATTGATTATATATATGTTTAAACTAACAATAATTAAATTAAAAGCAAAGTAAGTCTGTCAAATTAGCAACGACTACATTTACGTTACCGTTTTTTATTTAATTACGACTTGATTCTGATTTTGTACGAATGCTTTTCTGAATCACCCGTCCCCAAAGGGTTAAAGGTCTATTAAGCTAGAGCTCTCATGCAAATATGAATTTTTTCTACAAAGTAAGAAATGTTGATTATCACAAATGTATTAAATGATCAATGTTTATCTCCCTTTTGTTATCACAATTAAAGTTTTCTAAGAATTGCAGGAACACATATGCTATATTTGCATTGTTATTGATTTGCATATGCCTGTAATATTCAACCTGTTGATGCCTAAAAAGTGGTCAATGTATGAAAACTACCAATACGAATGTTTGTTTTAACCAAATGTTTGTTTCGTTCTATTACTTACCACTTGAACTTTTGCTAAGTGGTAAGTAATAGAACGAAGATGCCTTAGAGGCCTTGATTTTCGATCTAATTATAAATATTTATATCAATGATATATTGCTGCAGATATGGAATTTCCTCGTTAGCGTAAAATCAATGCTAGTCATGAACATTAGTGCTATCACTTCTTTTTTTTTTTTTTTGGAAAGAGGAACTATCACATTAAACCCTTAACTTGCGCGCAAGAGTTAATTCGAGCACGCTATGCCAAACTGTGCACACTCGAAATAATTCGAGCGGCGTTGTATTTTATGCTGCTATAATTTTTCGCTCTCGAATATAATCGAGAATTGAAAACAACAATGTGAAAGCTAAGAAAAAAAATTGCTTTATTGATATTTATCATTTACATAAGATTGTAAGCTATAACACTTATTTTTTTCAAGAATAAAATATACAGAGGTGCCAACTTGCACCGGACAATAAATATATATATTAAAGGTGTAGTTTATCAATTGTGAATCCTGGTTTAATAAATTCACTTTAGTAGACTTTTATCCACCACTATTTCTAAATAATTCGTAGGCTTATATAATTCACCACTTTATAGTACCTGTGTCATGCTATACCTTTTAAAAAGCAAGCAAAAATAGTCAAATATATGCAAAATTTACTTTGTAGTTATTTACAGTTTTTTTAATTATTTAGGCGCGGCTGGAGCAGTTGGCATCTCTGAATGTAGGCTTTTTCAATGGAACAAAAGCGTAGCATTTCAAAATTTTTCACCAAACGAAAAGACAATGTTTCAGAGTGTGTTTTTTTACATTAAAAAAAATGATTTTTTTGACCGTTTTTTTTCTGTGCATTAAGGGGTTAAAAAAGATGCTAGGTACAAATGGGTAAAAATGGTAGTGTAATTTTAATTAAGGTAAGAAACTTCTATTTAATATTGCCATCATCTAAAAACTTGTCCGCTGTCTTGACAGTTGTTATTTATTTGTTTAAATTGTGATGGTCAAATTATCGTTAATCAAATTTATTATCCTTGTAGTCTTTAAAAGAGCATAAATGTGTTAAAGGAATCATTTGCAAAGCAGGAATATTAAGTTTACGAAAAGTTTACAAGATTCACGAGGGTCTTGTAAATTTTAAAAAGTGGTAACGAAAATTAAACAAATGTCGATAATTTAATTTCTGTGTAACTACCACTAAAAATTGTTTTCCAACGAAAGTATATGAGCAAGAAAATTTCAGCTTCTAGACAACTTAACGAAGTTGGAAGCTAGAAATATCTTCTAGAACTAACCTAAATTAACTACTAAATTTTTTCAAGGATCGTGGGAACCCTTGTTTTATTATAATCAAAACCAATGAAAAAGAAGGAGCAAAACAGATTATTAGGTCGTCCAGAAAAATCACGTGCATACATATGTAACGAAAATATCCATTATGAAACACTTTGCAGGCATTCATTAAGGTTAGCAGTCGTTGTGGTCAGGCGATGTTTGCATTTTGAAAACGCATATTTGAATTTTTTGTAGCTATTAGAATAGTGGTTGCTACAAATTGGTGTTAATAAATGCTAAAAATGCATATTTTATTTAGTTTTTTAGAAACAAAATGTGACCAAAATGGGACTAGTAAAATCTTTTGGGTTCTAGAAAGACTTTCATTCGTACTGGGATTATTCCTGGTTAAACATTCTATTATCGGTGGCTGCAATTATTTTAATGAAATTTAACATTTTGGAATATTCTATATTGTTAAAATTTTAAATTCAGTAAGAAATATGAAGAAAAAAAATCAAGTAATACAGTTACATTTTTCTTATTTTAAAACTCATTAAAAATTTTAGAAATCGATGCTTATGAAGATGAAATTAAAACACATCTCTGAAGACTTAAACTTATTATGAAACGGCGTGCAAATTAAAAGGAAGCTTAGCAAACGGAGTTTAACTTACTTTTCCTAAAGAAGTTTTCGGAGAAATAAATTCCGCGAAAACTTTCATTATATTAAATTTATTAAACTATTACGTAACTTTAATGAAATCAGTCTACATCAAAATTGGTTTATAGGGGAATTCCTTTTAAGTTTTTTTTCTTTCGTTCGACTTGGAAGTCGAAATTTATGAAGCTTCTTAAGTTTGTTGCAACTTTTGCTAAGATGAAGGCTGAAAGTTTTCTTTCACGTTTTGTTTACAAGTCGTTAGCTCTAATTATTCTCTTAGAAGTTTCAGAAGGAGTTTTACGTTCAATTTGGTACGTGTATTATTCATTAATGAAGAAAGCTCGTTGTTATGCTCGAACGGCAAAGAGCTCGGTGATTGTTTAATTCAGCAGAAATGCCATCCCCAGCAAGAATTAATTGAACGGAAAGTGATCAAGACGTTTAATTATAAAGAGAACTTCTCATTTCTTTTTTAGCCATTTATCGCGAAATGTTTTAAAAACACATGCCTTGCAAAAGAAGCTTCTTTCCATTAGAAATAACTAGAATCAAAAGATCTATCTCAAAGTCGCATAAAAAAAGTTTTTTCTTAACTTTTAAAATTCAATTAAAGCTACTTGTATTATTTGTCTGGGAAATGTGAAATGAAATGACGTTTTATGGACAAAGTGAAAAATTAAAACTTAAATTTTATTTAATGAGGGAAATGTTTAAAAATAAGTCTTTTACTTTTAAATAACAGAATCAAGGAGAGTTAATTAATTATACTACCTTTTCTTAAATTTATTATTATTTATTATTGTTTGATTATAAAAAGACGGTAAAATTCCCAAGAAATTTCTTTCTTAGCGATTTATCGCTACAAGGAAATGCTTTAAAAACACATGCTAAAAAAGCAAACATTTCAAAAGGCAGTTTTTTTCGTTATAAATAACTGGAATCAGAGGAATCAATA